AAATTCTTTAATTTCTTTAAATATGAATACTGATAAGGTTTACATGTGAAACTCCAGAGCCAGAGCCACTGGGGCGGAGCCTGAAAGGATTTTTGAGGTAAGAATATGGCTATATTTAATCGGGAATGTCAGCTATAATCATACTAAATTTCAACCTTGTCGGTTTAGTATTTTTCGCGTTTACTTCACAAACATCCATCCATCCATCCATACATCCGTACATCCAAACTTTCTTACTTATAATATTAGTAGGATAAGTAAACAGTTGTAATATTGCTTGTTTATGGATCGATTTTTATCAAACTTGGCAAATTTATTTATTTCACAGTAAGCTAATGATATTTTCCTTAAAATCGCACTTCCTTACCCTCCCTGTAGGCAGCAAAAACCTAGGTACTCGTTAAACCTAATGTTATTGAATTAGATTTAAATGAAAATAAAGGCACACAAATGGAAATTTACTTTGGCTGCAGGTTTGCTGTGGTGGGGGTATTATGGAGTTGTAATTTATGTAGAAAGAATACTTTGTGGTAGTACATGATTAACTCTAATTCATATTAGATACTAAACAAATCAATCTCGTTGGTGCAATTAGTAGCGCCATTGAACAGCTACTGCAAATCAGTGCTACTATTCGTATTTGCTAGCAGCTATACCCGTGCCTTGCAACGGGGTCAAAAAAGAGACAATGTTGGTTCTTAGAAACATGCCAAATGGTTTTCCAAATGCCAAATTTAGAAACAAAATTTAACTGTCCTACTTAACTTGATAATAGTACGTTTTTGTTAACTCATACTGTGAATACTTATTTATGCTACCTACGATACAAAACCAATGATAGATTTTAAGAATAGGAAAATAGAAATAAATATGGAAAATAAGAGTAATTTTATAACATATTTTAGTGAAATTTTAATCAGGCAAATGGAAATTCGCTTAGTCTATAGATTTGCTGCGGCGGGGGTTATTACTGTTTACACAAAAAAAAAAATAAAAAAAACCTCATAAAACTCACGATAAGAGCCTAGGTTGATACGGCAATGATTATAGAATCTTAATTATTCCCTTAGTGAAATTTTAATCAGGCAAATGGAAATTCGCTTAGTCTATAGATTTGCTGCGGCGGGGGTTATTACTGTTTACACAAAAAAAAATAAAAAAAACCTCATAAAACTCACTATAAGAGCCTAGGTTGATACGGCAATGATTATAGAATCTTAATTATTCCCTATATCCATGAACGATTTTTTTTACAACGAATTATTTCCTGTAAAATATTATTACAGCATTTCACAAATATTAGAACAGACTCAGTATAATAGATCATAAACAAAACAAATGAAGTAACTGAAAGAATAATATACTAATGAAATTCAAATTACATTAACATATGGTTTGACAGCTCCATTTAAGTAATGTTAAATAATGTTTACATTCGGGCTAGTGACATCATTATTTTAAATTTATAATCCTTACCCTCTCTGTTCTAATATTCGTGCAGTATTTAATATGTTTGAACCAGCTGTGTGGAATTATGAAATCAAAATTCATTTGACAGTTAGTTCTGCTTGTTTACATTTTTAAACTTTGTAGGTTTGTTCTTTGTTACCATGGATGCCATCAATCAATATTTACTTTTAAATCTTTCACCTCAAATATTTGAAAGCCCACGGGGCAGAGCCCTAGGACAATATCGAAGTGGGAATAGTTCTGTATGTATCCTCGGAGCTGTAGCTTCATTTGTGTGCAATTTGAGCCCAGTCGGTTCAGTAGTTTTTGAGATTACCTCATACAAACACACACACACACACACACACACACACACACACAGACACCACCTCTTCTTTATAATAGTAAGATAGATAGATAGATTATACAGTACATCTTCAGTGTTAAGTCTCATAAAGAGCAACTCCCATAATACATGACCAGTAAATTGGTGAATATTTTAGCATTTTCTAAACCACCATAAAAGTTTTACAAAGTATCAAAAGTAGTGACCATCAATCAAGTCCTCGTTGTAATCAAATATTACTTGAATAGGGATTAAATATAAATTGTGAATGAAAATATTTCAGTAAAAGTCTAATCACACTAATTGAAATTCGTATAATCTACTGGTTTGCTGTGTCGGTGGTATTTTTTTGTACATTTAGCAATAACTGAATTTTACAAAAACTCAGTCAAACACACAACCAAAGGCAGTAACATAAAAATTTCTAGCACCAAATCTATATTGAAAAATACCAGTAACAGCTGTGACAGGAACTTATAATACGGGTAAATATTACAAGTGATTTTACAACTTTTCACCACACTAAGATGTTTTTTGGCTGTATTACATACGTTAATTGGTGGCTGAAAGTTACGTTTTGCTGGCCATGCCAGCTGTCATCGTAATTTGGGGACCGAGCAGGTTTTTACATCCCGGGGCCGCAAAATCAGCTGTCCGCTTACTTACTTAAAACATGAATGCATTTTAAATAAATAACAATAACAATACATAGCATTGCAATAGAATTGTGTTATTGTCACCGTTGCCTAGCAACTATTTATTATTATTTTTGCTGATTCCTCAAAATTATTTCTTCACATAACCTTAAAGTTGTAGTTGTGTTGACTATCAGTGTGCATTATTATCATGGTGAATAGTGGTAATAGAGTATAGTGTGGTGAATAATACGTCGCGAACTTAAAAACTATCTCGAGCCGGCAAAACCTCATTTTCGGCCCTAGGTACGAAATATCCTATTTCATTACACTGTCTCAAAAACAGCTGTCTTACGGATCGTTTTGAGTCCCTAAAGATAGCTTTTTGCGGACTAGTCCGTAAAATTTTACTGACTGAAATCATGTAGCTTATCTCAAAAACAAATCAGCTGTTCTGATCCTTTAAAATGCTTCAACAAATGGTTTTAGCTATATTTTGTATTTTCTGCTATAATATATGACAATGTAATAAAAAATATTGATCGTAACTCGTCCTAAAAAGTTTTTTTGTGACTCAATCGAATTTCCGGACTCTGCTTAAAAAGCCTACTTTAGGGACTAGTAACGAAAACTACCATTTAACCAACGATCAAATAAGACCAATAGATGGAGCACGCCTATCTAACTAACATTCAAGCAGCTGAAGCCAGGTCCGCCATCTTACTGTAGGTTAGAAGCGCTAGATGCCAATGAAAACGACACCAAAACTCTATGTCCCGCTTCAAAATAACTTGACATTTAGCCTACTTAGACTAAAGGTAAATCGTTGAAACTTCGTATGAATGATGTCAATAAGTCTAGGACACTATTTGTTCTAATTAATAGCTTAAAAGTTGATATTTTCTATTTTAAATCTTCAAATAAAGTCGTCACTCTAACGTCTCAAAGGCTTAAATCTGAATTTCATTTAACTGAATCTATTTTATTTTGTATTTTTATCAAAGTTTCTCAGGGATGGGTTCTTTGCCACGTGACTGATTTTATCCTAACTGCAGAATGTGTGAAACGTGAGATATAATGTTAAGTTATACAGAGCCACTATGTGTAAGTGTTATTTGGTCGTAGAACTCTTAAAATAAGGTGCCAGACAACTACCAAATGTGCGTGCTTGTTTAGTGTTAAGCCGCAGCACCAGCGGTCAGCCGGTGCCTGACAAATGCTTTGTATATGGTTAAATTGTTTAGTGTCACTACTTGTAAGTGTTAATTCGGTCGCAACACTCTTAAAAAGGTGTCAGACTACAACCGAATGTGCGTGAGTGTTTGTTAAGCCGCAGCACCAGCAGTCTGCCGGGGCCTGACAAATGCTTTGTGTGTATTATAATTTCTATCCTACTTACCTATCTAATTACCTTATTACTATTTCAAATGAGAACACAATTGGGACTGACCTTTTTCTTTTATTTTCCTTTCACAAATACAAATTAAATTACAATTAATTATTGTTTTTGTTTACGCCTGACAAATGGTTTACACCCGCAGTGCCTGTCTGAGTGACTGACTGTCAACTCACTCACTAGTGAAGACTGGTCCGTGGACTGCTGTATTTATACCCGATTTGGTTGCTATGGAGACCATGGAATGATCTAGAACTTTAAACCCAGATGTTTCCACCAACATTCACTTCCTTTTCCGGCAACCTGACGTCATCCCTGCCCACTTGATCGTCGTTGATCCATCAGCTGCTGTCGGCTGGAGCTCGAGCGGTCAGAGAAGCTATTGTAAACTAGTAAACAAACATTCAATAAATAAATATGTTATAATTATTTAGTTTGTTGTGTTATATTTACATGTTTATCCCTTTGTTTCTGAAATAAAATAGTAATGTTAATTTATAACTGGTAATGTGTAGCTAAAGAGTTGAAATTTTTGGATCATATTTTTAAAAATTTTTATTTTAGCTGGTGTAGTTTGGTTGTAATTTAAATTGTAATATAGGGGATACCCGCCGCACCACGTGGCGTCATGTGGACAGATTCTGCCTACAACCTCACTTGTAATTTATTTATTTATTTATTCATGGTAACACCATCTATACAATAGTAATTAGCATAATCAATTACAAGATGGCATAGTTTACAACGAAACTACATTTCTAATGCAATTAATATCAAACAAAACTGAACTTGAAAAAACTAAGTATGATATTCAAGGAAAAACAACAAACAATAATAACAGGCAATGCAGACAAAAAACAACAATCAATACAGACAACGAAAGACTAAAAATAACAGGCTATAAATACAAGCTATAAATACGGCAAGCAATAACAGGCAATGAAAAGCTATAATGACAGGTTATAAACAACAGGTTATAATACAATACGGCAAGCAATAACAGGCAATAAAATACATGCAAAAAATAACAGACAATAAAAATACAGAAGCTATAGAACAACAGGCAATAAAATACAGAGGCAATAGAGTAACAGGCAATAAAAAACGCTCAATAGAATTCAGACAATAACATACAATAAACAAATACGGACAATAATACAGGCAGTGAATGCAGTTAACGATGGTGTCCTTTCAGATTTATGTAGATTTTTTTGGCGGTCACAACTGAGGTGTTCCAAAGGTCGATGTGAGGAGACAGGAGGTTCCCAATCCTATGGAGATGGGGGATCACACTGTTGTGCTCATAGTTGTTGGCATAGGCTTGAATAGCGAAGAGGTTCCTTGAGCGAGTTCCTCCCGGAACTCGAAAGTTGATCTGACCAAGTAGCTCAGGGCATACAACATCATCATTTAAAAGATTTACGAGAAAAGAAACATCAGCTAATTCTCTTCTCAAATGTAGAGATTGTAGTCCCAATTGAATTTCGATGTCGCTGATGGGAATTGTTGCGTAGTTATAACCCATCTTGAGTCCAACAACTCGAAGAAACCTTCTTTGGATTTTCTGTAGGTGGTCGATTTGTCCAAGTGCATAGGGAGCCCACACAATGCTGCAATATTCAAGTACTGAGCAAACTAGGCAGATGAAGAGATACCTCAGAGCTGTGATGCTGAGACCATGTCTAAAGGTTCGAATAATAAAGCCCAGTGCCCTTGATGCCTTGCCACAAACCAACTCCATATGGTCAAGAAATGTGAGGTTTGATGAGAACACCACCCCGAGGTAGTTATATGCCCCGAGGTCACGAACTGAGGTCCTCCTAGGAATATCACTGCCATTGATGGTATAGTTGAAGATAATAGGTCTCTTGCTATGGCTAAAGGTGATTGTAATACATTTCTTGATGTTCGATGTTGAGACTCATATCGTTTGAGACACACCAGTCGCATATCCTCCTGAGGCAGTTCTGGAGTGTTGTACAATCTTCAATGGAAGAAATGGCCGTAAAAATCTTAATATCATCAGCAAATAACAGTTTATCCACATCAATGAGTTCTATGATGTCATTACGATATAATGAGAACAGAAATGGACCCATGTGTAAGCCTTGAGGGACGCCAGATGTTGCAGTGAAGGGTTTAGACATGATTGTTGAAACTTTACAATAAGTTCCCGGTTATCCAAGTATGAGCGGAACCATTTCAAGAGTTGTCCAGTGACTCCATAACCAGCCATTTTGGAAAGTAGTATCTGGTGGTTGTCCCATCGACACATTGGAAACTAGGAAATTCAGGTAGATTACTTGGTTGGACGAGGTTGACCTGCCAGTCGAGAACCCATGCTGGTGAGTTGAGAGGAGGTTGTCAAAAAGGGGCTTTATTTGGTCTAAAACGAGACTTTTAAATACCTTCCCCAGGGTGGGTTGAATGACAATCGGCCTGAAGTCACTTACATCGGAAGAGTTTTGGACTTTGGGAATGGGGACGACAAAGCTGGTTTTTAATGTATCCGGAAAGATTCCTTCTTGAAGTAAAAGATTGAAGATGTGCGTCAATTGAAGAGCCAGTAGCATATTACAGTACTTTAGTACAGATGGAGGTATTAGGTCAGGCCCCGTTCCCTTGTAAGGATCGAGAGATGCCACCTTCTTTTGAACATCATTACAACTTAGGCTGCAGGAGTTCAAATTCAGTTGAGTTTTGAAATCGTAAACTGGAGGAGTCTGCTGGTAAACTGATGAAAAGTAAACTCCAAAAAGGTTTGAAATATCTTCAGGACGTTCGGCCTACTCACCGTGGTAGTTGAAACAATCAAAGCTGCTACTATTTGATTTAAGGCTGTTTACAAAGCCAAAAAAGACCTTAAGTTAAGTGGAATAGAGTTATTAACTCGATCATTGTATTGTGCATAGCAATCTCTGCTTAAGGTTTTACAAAGGCGACGAACACGGGAAAACTCTTCGTAGTCATGCAGTGATTGAGAGGCTTTAAATTTGGAATGCATGGCCTTCTTCATGATTGTGAGTTGTTTCAATTGGCTATCGAACCAGTAAGGAAATTTTGATGGACCAAGTCTCTTCATAGGTGTATGCCTTAGGATGATTTCACGAATAGTGGAGACAAATGAGTCAAAGAAGCTGTTTATATCAATAATATTGTAGTAAGTGGTTCCAAAGCTCTCTACTGAGTTCAATGTAGACAGCCTCGACATCACACCGCCTGAAGTCCGGGACGAAACCAGAAACATTGTGAGTACTATCCATGCATTTTTTGACTACAAAAGTAAGTGGAGGGTGAGCCTCTTCAACAGGAAGTAAAATGTCTTGCGCAGCCTCAACAGTTGAGTTGGTTGACGAGGTGAACACCAAATCAAGCAGCACGCACCTGGAGTTCAGGATGGTATTAGTTTGTTTCAGCTGATAAGATGTCACAAGATCTATGAGTTCTTGCTGGGATCTGCTAGGATTAATAATTTAACTCTCCAGGGACCATTTGGCATCCGGAAGGTTGAAGTCGCCCATAAGGTATAGAGAAGAGAGATCGTTGGAGACAGATAGCATGACTTCGTCAACTGCCTCGCAAAATCCCAGGTAAAGATCAGAGGTTGCTGGGGATGGATATAAACACCTCCTATCAATATAAGGCGAGTTAGGACAATCAATTTGTGTAAACACGCATTCTACATTTTCATTAGAGGTATAGATACGAGAAGATTTTATGTGGGATTTCACAGCAATAAGGACACCACCTCCACTCAACTTATGGCTCATAGTTGGTGATCAATCCTTCCTATAGACGTTGTAATTGGAGAACCCAAGTTCGGAGGTATGGATGTTTGGGTAGAGATTGGCCTCAATAAGAACCACAATATGATAGATGCAGACAGACATAGCTTCCTTGAGTTTAGTAATCTTACTGCGGATTCCTCTTACATTTGATAATAAACCAACAAACTATCTTGCTGGTGACTTAAACGTTTTTTTGGGCCGGTTTAGCGATAATTTTAGGTACTCCGCCTTTATATTTTATGGCAAGTCCCTGTTCACCAGCTTCAGTTCTCCTCTTGAGTTCGTCCCGCAACTTGCGGAGTTGCTCCCTCTCCAACACAGTTCTATCCCTCGAGATAGACGCATCCTTGTAGAAATCATTGTCAATATTAAGCAGATTATTTGCATCAAAGTTGTTGAATAGTTCAGAGACGTCAGTTTTGTTTTTGAATATTACTTTTAAAGGTCTGGCCTTCTCTTGATAGGAGCTCCCAATACGAAAAAGCTTGCAACGTCTACCACAGTTAGGGTCGCATAGAGCTTCCATTATTGCACTGATAACGTCATGATCATGTTTTATCTTTTCGGCTGTAACCCTACTCTTGCTTTCGGGTATTCCGTGCAGGATAACATTGAAAGAGTGACGCTCCTGATCTTGTACTTCCTCAACAATGTTCTCAACGTTCAAGGGTCTAGAGGACAGTGAGCTCAGCTTATCTTCAACCACTGACAAACGGGTTTCAGCTTCAACAATGAGGGGCTCAAGCAGTGCTAGTTTATCAGTTACATGGCTTAGGCCGGTTTTTATATCAGTAATATCTGAAGGAACTGAAGAGAATTCACTTAGCTTAGAAAGGACGTCAGACATCTGGCTTGATAGATTATCCAGCTTTAGTAAGAGAAGATGGGTTGGGTGGCGATCAGCGGGGACGCAATCAGTTCGATTGCAAAAAGATTTCTTGCGGCTATCATTGGAGAGCTTTTGATATTCAGCATCAGATAACGCAACACACCCAGCATGGAACCAACGACCACAAGCTTTTTCACAAAAATAATTCCTTTCTCACTATCTAATACTTTCTTCCCACAAATAGGGCAAGTAGCAATGTCCGAAGGGAAAGTCATGATTGCTCAAATTGATTTGTAATTGAGCGGAGCGAGCGAAGCTCTTATACGTCGACTCTTATGCATTTCGTAATACGCAAACTTCTCCTAAACGGCTGAGTGAAGGGAGGTAAACAGGTCCGTGACGTAGGAAGTGGTGAAGGAAGTAATAAAGGCGAGCAGTCTGGAGTGTGGGAACTTTTTATGACGATTAGATTAAGGTATCTGAAATCTAAAAATGCTATGGGAAGGGAGGGAAACAGGTCCGTGACGTAGGAAGTGGTGAAGGAAGTAGTAAATGCGAGCAGTCCGGAGTGTGGGAACTGTTAATGCAGATTAGATTAAGGTATCTGCAATCCTAAAATGCTATGGGAAGGGAGGGAAACAGGTCCGAGACGTAGGAAGTGGTGAAGGAAGTAGTCAAGGCGAACTGTCCGGAGTGTTGAGACTGTTTATGACGATTAGATTAAGGTATCTACAATCTTAAAATTCTATGAGAAGAGAGGGAAACAGGTCCGCGACGTAAGAAGAGGTGAAGGAAGTAGTAAGGTGAGCAGTGTGGAGTGTGGGAACTGGAAACCGTTTGTAGCAGCTAGATTAATGTATCTGCAATGCTGAAATGCTATGAGAAGGGATGGGAGCATGCCCATGACATAGAAAGTGGTGAAAGAAGTATTAAAGGCTAGCAGTGCTGAGTGTGGGGAATGTTTGTGGCAATTAGATTAACGTATCAAAAATACTAAAATGCTATGGAAAGTGATGAAAACAAGTCCACGATGTAGGAAGTAGCTTAGGTAGCATATTGTGAGAACCGTCTGTGGCAGTTAGATTAATGTATCTTCAATCCTAAAATGCTATGAGAAGGGAAGGAAACAGGCCCCACGACGTAGGAAGTGGTGAAGGAAGTAGTAGAGGCTGGCAGTGCAGAGTGGGGGAACTGTAATTGGCAATTACATTAATGTATCTGCAATCCTAAAATGCTATGGGAAGAGCGGGAAACAGGTCCACGACGTAGTGGGTGGTGAAGGAAGTAGTAAAGGTGAGCAGTGTTGAGTGTGGGAATGGATTAATGTATCTACAATGCTAAAACGCTATGGGAAGAGACTGTAGACTGTAGGTTAACATGATTACGAAGCACGAATCGATACATATTTTCGATACATGCAATCGTTTACAGTAGAAATTTAGGCTTACAACTGAGTTGACAACAGCTGATTTTTACTCCATAGAGGCTAAAAACGATTTTTACTCCCTTAAGAGTAAAAATGCCCCGCAACGCATGCATTAAAAACGACTGTTTTTACTGCAGTATGACAAAAACAATATAATATGAACCCTTGATGACTCCGCTCAATTTTGTGGATGCCTCTGCGAACGCCACCTAGTACATATATCTATATTATAATCAGGTCTGAAGGACTTTTATATAGTACCATACAAGATTCCGGGACGATACAGATGGCTGTGGTGGAAAAATATTTTTGACAGACCTTCTATGGCCGAAGCGGCAGACAAGCCAAATCTGACAGGCGCTCCAGGTTGTAGGGTTGTTTGTTCTAAATTGATTGTAATACAGTTTAGATACTCAAGTTTAGAGCTTTACAGAAAAGTTACTAAACTAATTAGAAAACCACGGAGTACATATAAATGTTCTACGTTTTCTTTTTTGTATTTATCTAAAAATTGATATTGTTTAGCTTGTTCACAAAAATTAATATGACAGTCAGAATATAAAGGAGAGTTGTATAAAGAGTTTAAGAAACTAAGTATCTTCTGACTTTGAAAATTCGTACATTGTAAACCAAACGCCAGAACTTAATCAAAATTTAATACGATATAGATACATATATTATCAATTAATTTGTAGCTTTTCAGAAATTTTCTTTCGCCCAAAAAGTCTTTGTTGTTAATTATGTAAACTAACTTTTTCTAAGAAACGGTAAACGCTATAAAAAGCGTATTTTGAAGGTCGTTGTGTTATTAATAGAAATGTTTATAGTACAAAGGCGTATTGTCACGGATATCATTGATATAAACTAACATATAATTAGTTGCGCGTGCTATTAGGGCTCATAACAGCCGGCAGACACCACCTTGTTGTAGATTAGTGAAAGATACTAGCTTCACGTCGCGGCCAACATGCTCCATCTTGTTGTAGATTAGTGAAAGATACTAGCTTCACGTCGCGGCCAACATGCTCCATCTTGTTGTAGATTAGTGAAAGATACTAGCTTCACGTCGCGGCCAACATGCTCCATCTTGTTGTAGATTAGTGAAAGATACTAGCTTCACGTCGCGGCCAACATGCTCCATCTTGTTGTAGATTAGTGAAAGATACTAGCTTCACGTCGCGGCCAACATGCTC